ACTACAACTGGTGAAAATTTGATTTTAGAGTATACTTCCCCTTGAGCGGGATTCACAGAAGCTTTTTTGCGATGCGACAAGCGATGCGACGCGACACGCGATGCGACGGACACGTGCGATGCGAACTCGCGAAATACCATTCACAGAAGAAGTCAGCGATGCGACAAAGTCTTGCTGATTTGGGTACGTCACCATGATATTCGCGCGGTTTGGTACAACCTGTACAAATTTATAGGCAACTCTTGAACCTTTGTACAACTTTGCTGTAGAAAAAGTCAAAATCGTACGCCAAATCGCTTGTCGCATCGCATCGCATCGCAAAAGTTGAGCCAAGCTCAACTTCTGCGATGGCCCAGTAGGGCTTGAAAGTGCTACGTCACAGCATAGCAACAATTTCAAAAATTCAAAAACTGGATCCACTTGGATCCAGTTTTTGTATGGATCCAAGCACATTTCAAGCGGTCTTACCCACAGCATGGTGATGTAGCCAGTGAAACTGACTGATTTGGCTACTGGGGGCGGGGTTACAACTGGTGGCGAAATAAAAGTCACAACAGCATGCGACATGAGTGGGTTGCTATGCACCCACATACTTAGGCAATATCAAAGTCACACCTTAGTGGATCCAAAAATAGAAATCTGATGTCAACTTACTACTCCCTGGCCGTTTTGACGTCATCACTTTCAAGCCCTGTTGGTGCAGTTGCGTGGGGTGCGAGTCCCCGTGCGACATGGCTGCGATTTGGGGTTTTCCCGGTTTCGCGCCTGTCGCATCGCGTGTCGCATCGCAAAAAGCTTTGCCATGGGATGATTCTGCTGGAGTTGCACACTCTGGTGTAGCCACTCTTGGTCACATCGGGTCATTACATGCATGTAATACGAGTTGAAAGCGTGACAAGCCTACAGTTTAAGGTAGCTCGTCGCTCTAGCGCCAGAGTGCTCAAACTACAAAATGTAGCGGGCATTGCGCGATGCAGCAGCACTAGAGCAGCCTACTGAGAGTGCTCAACAAGGCGAAAGCCGAAGAGCGTGATACCCAATGCTGTATACATATAGGGGGAAGTGGTCCCGTCCACCGCAACGAGGGCTCAACAGCGCTGGGGTGCACTGGAGCTAGTACACAATGAGAGCCGTCAGGTCGGCAACGGACGTCAACCTTTGGAGGAGCACGGCATCAGTCATCGAGTGGTACATAAACATCCAGGACAAGCAACAGCACACATTCATATGCTTTGACGTTGTAGAGTATTATCCCTCCATCACAGAGGCACTCCTCGCGAAGGCCCTGGATTTTGCGTCCACGTACACTAACATCGAGGACGGGGAAAGGGAGATTGTCATGCACGCACGAAAATCAGTGTTGTTCAAAGACGGCCAACCTTGGGTGAAGAAGAACAACGCCAGCACGTTCGATGTCACCATGGGCTCGTTCGATGGCGCAGAAGTGTGTGAGCTGGTTGGCGTATATATGCTCCACGAACTAACAGCCCACGTCGGCAGAGCGCAGATCGGCCTGTACAGGGACGACGGCTTGGCTGTGCTGAGAAACACCACCGGCAGCGCGGCAGAGCGCATACGGAAGAGTTTGACGGCGGTGTTTGCAGGGCATGGACTAAAGGTAACGATTGACACCAACCTAAAAGTGGTAAATTTCCTCGACGTGACGTTCAACCTGTCAACCGGAGGATACATGCCACACCGAAAGCCAGGCGACACACCGCAGTACATCAACACTCACTCAAACCACCCACCGTCCATAACGAGAGAGCTTGGAAGCTCAGGGCCCTACGCTATGCTTTTTTGCTTGCTCATCATGCATGTAACGTGTCAAAGCTGTGTTGACCCTGACTAGCGTTCTGGAGTCGACGGGATGTCTGTCCTGACGTTTCCTGTGACCGGTAGGCATATGCGGATAATTCCGGCAGAAAAATTGGCAGAATTCGGTACTTTTTCTGGTAAGTTTCATGCATGTTTGGTATGTGGATAAAGAAATGGAGCAGAATTCGAGGAATTGCCCGCCATAAGGTTTGTATGGTTCTGCTAATTTCACTGCTTTTCGAGCAGAATCTGCCACCTTTTCGAGCATTATCTGCACACCCCTAGTGACCGGCGCTGACTCTGCCGATCACGGGCGTTCGGGAGTCGACGGGATGTCTGTCCTGCCGTTTCCTGTGACCGGCGCTGACTCTGCCGATCACGGACGTTCTGGGGTCGACGGGATCTCTCTTCCGACGTTTCCTGTGACCGGCGCTGACTCGCCCTTTCAGGATTATTTTGGAGATGACGGGACCTCTCTTCCAAAGTATGTTTTTGGTGACGCATCCTGTCTTATATTCGGCAACTAACGTCCATTCTAATAGCATTTCCTCGTCTCCCTACTTCGTATTTCTTTCCAGAAAATCTCCCTATACAGCAGGGAGTCGTTTAAATACTACTAATCCCTGCTATACATCTATATACGTTATAATTATGATGCTATCGGCCTACATGCGATTCCCGGGCTGGTCGACAGGCGGCCCAGCCAGCCTGCCAGTGGGATCTCGGCCTCGCACAAAAATCCACACAAAATGCTACTGCACTATCGGCCTGAATGCATTCCCCCGATATACTTCGCATATATACTCATCCTCTTGATGGTACCGTACTCTTGATGGTACGGGACAGGTACGGGATAGCGCCGGGCATGCTGATGGCACAAACAAACAAAAATATTGTGGCCAGCTGTCTTTGCTGGTACGGCACGGTACGGGACAGATACGGGATAGCGCCAGGCGTGACACAAACAAACAAACAAACAAACAAACAAACACCAAATTAAAGCTGTGTGGACCCTGGCTAGCGCCAGACGTTACTGAAGTAACGTCTTCTGCATAGCTACGGGAATAAAGCAACTGCCAGCAGGAATAAGCCGACGCGTGTCAACCAACTCATCAAGTGAGGAAGCATTTAACGAAGCTGCGCCTATGTACAACAACGCATTATTGGCCAGTGGATACGCGGAAGGTATTGAGTACATGGGGCAACCAGCACAGAAAAACAGAAAGCGAAACCGAAAAAGAAAAATAACATGGTTCAACCCTCCTTTCAGCCGTAGCGTGAGAACAAACGTCGCTGCTGCCTTCCTCACAATGATCGACCGGCATTTCAAAAACACCCCCTGAAAAAGATCTTCAACCGACATAACGTGAAGGTTAGCTATTCATGTATGCCCAACATCGCAGCGATTATTAGTGGGCACAACAAGCGGCAACTGATACAAGAACCTCCTGAAAAGCCTTGCAATTGTAGGAAAAAGCAGGAATGCCCCATGGAAGGACGTTGCCAGGCCTCCCACGTCATCTATGAAGCACACGTCACCAGCCAGGATGAGCTCAGGACATACATCGGCTCAGCAGAGACAACGTTCAAAACAAGATACAACAACCACACGATGTCCTTCCGTCACGAAAAATACCGCACTAACACGGAGCTCTCCAAACACCTCTGGAAAAAGAAAAAACGACAACAAAGAGTATCACCTGTCCTGGAGAATCAAGGACAAGGCCAGCTCCTACAACCCCGCAACGAAGAGATGTTGCATTTGCACCACGGAGAAGGTGCGTATACTCACTGCTGACAAGACCAAAATCCTCAACAAGCGAAGTGAAATCATCGCCAAATGTCGTCATGCAAACAAATACCGGCTCGCTAAGTATAACGGAATCACGTAAAACCGGACATGGACAGAGCAACCTGATGCCCAATGGAACCAGACACACTGCACCATTATTGTTATGATTAACGCCAAATATAGCACCGTAATGGCCTTACACCTCCTGACGCCAGGCATGCGCTAGTTAACTCCATATTTACGTGCTCCATTCAGCGCTTGTTACAGTAATGGACAATTGATATCAATATTTTACACTGCCTGCACCTAGCAGTAACTCTTCACTCTTCACACTTCACGCTTTCTTTTTTGTGCGCTTTGCTGTGTGGTTGTGTATTTCTTTAGTGGACCTGACAGCCCTGCTTTAGTTAGAAAAGTTGCCTGACGATTGAAAAACTCAAGAAACTCGGAGTAGCAACGGATTGTGTTTTCTTGGTGAGGACCGCTTCCATTGTATATATGTATATAATACAAACTAACCTTAGGTTTATACGTGGAATATAAACTGAACACAAACCGAGGCGAAGCCGAGGTTTGTGTGATAGCACACAAACCTCGGCTTCGCCTCGGTTTGTGTTCAGTTTATATTCCACGTATAAACCTAAGAGTAGGTTGTAGTATATTTATACCAGCCTTTATACAAACCTCCATTCAACTCTACCGACTTTTTTGTGAGCAGTATCAGCCATTAATCATTACCCTTGTCTTCTACCGAAGAGATAGCCATTTCATTACTTGTGGAAGACAGTAGACTAGGCTACTAGCACTGTACAGCGGTTATGCAGTCAACATTCAACTCTACCGACTTTTTTGTGAGCAGTATCAGCCATTAATCATTACCCTTGTCTTCTACCGAAGAGATAGCCATTCTTCATTACTTGTGGAAGACAGTAGACTAGGCTACTAGCACTGTACAGCGGTTATGCAGTCAACATTCAACTCTACCGACTTTTTTGTGAGCAGTATCAGCCATTAATCATTACCCTTGTCTTCTACCGAAGAGATAGCCATTCTTCATTACTTGTGGAAGACAGTAGACTAGGCTACTAGCACTGTACAGCGGTTATGCATGAGTCAACACTGACAACAGTATCGCTTTACCTAGTCACTAAGCCAGTGCAGAGCTTCCTCCAAAAAGTGAGAACTTTCGTGACATTCTTTAGGTGACGACGTTGGAGAACACGGTCAACTGCTTGTTTCCATGGTGAATTTAGGCGCGCAAATTTGGGCGCGCTTTTTGAAGTTATAAGCAACTTGGGCACCCCATATCTGCCACTTCCTCCAGTTTGGCAGTTGTGGTAACATTGATTTCTTTTCGACTCTCTCGTACACACCACAACAACAACAGAACTGCAGGGTCGCAGCAACAGCTGCTCCAATTCTTGCACCGCATGTGTATTAATATTACTATGCCACAGGCACACAGCATTTAAACATAATCATGGCAGCCTGGTACACATCACTTTAGCATAACAAAAGGAAAACAACGCAAGACAGTACACGATCCAAGCCATGGGACAATGGATACATGAACCTCCGATCGAAATGCGTTCACCACGGCCTAGTGCACTGATTAATGGGAATTGCCGCCAGCGACAATGGTGGAGATGCTGAATAACCCCAAATGGGCCAGTCTAAATAAAGCCAATGTGCTACCTTAATACAGAATTATCTGAAATTGGCCCACACACGGAAACATGCTCGCCACATACACGCACTACTGCTTACTCAGCCAATAAATCCATATGCACATACATATCTAGCAATGACTATCCAATTGGGTGGGTGGGTGGGATTCGCAACTGTACAGCAGCAGTGCAAGAACAAAAAGAACACTGTCTTCAGACCAGCATGCACCTTCATGTGCATGCTGCAACTCCGCACTGTGCAGCCAGTGCGTACCGCACTCCCAGCACAGTCCGTGAACTCTGGACTGTGCACTCGCGTTTCGAAAAGAACAGCATTTCTTGTTTACTTCGTTGCTCTCATCCAACAAGAAATGAGGCATTTCTTTTCGACTCTCTCGTACACACCACAACAACAACAGAACTGCAGGGTCGCAGCAACAGCTGCTCCAAGAAGCACAAAGCATAGCTGGCGGCATATAGACTGCCAAGCAGCGAGACATGCGTTCTGGCTGTTGACTTTACTTGCCTGTAGCACACAGTCGGAGAACAGCATGATTACTTCTGCGCCACTGACTGCCTCCTCCCCCTTAGCTCGATTGCTTGTAGCGTCCGCGCTCGGCTGGCTCTGCCGCAGCACCTTGGGTCATAATTGTAAGCCTGTAGCTTTCACCCTTATCATGCCTGCTGCTCGGGTTAACACCTGTAGTGTCCATGTATGCCTGTAGCACAACTCCGTGCATGACCGTATGCACCACTCGCAACATACACACCACACAGAAACAATGCAAACGGACGCTTAATGTCGCATGTAACCATCGACAGAATATTAAATTCAATGTGTGGCCACCCAGACCACGGTGACGAACATGAAAACGAATACAACGATACTTCAACATTGACTGTCATCATAGCTGTAGTGACATCCTCGGCAAGTGCTCCAATCGCTCTTCTACACCTCTCTCATAACAACGATTACAAAGCGCCTGGAGGCCGCTCGCCCGTGCAACATTACGTGCGTACCTATGGTGTTCTCTAAATTCTGGCTAGCACACTTAACTCATGGACTCACCTCTTTGCGAAGCTAGTGCTCTGGGTGCAACTTCGAGTTGATACATCTGTACGTGTTAACCGGGGAGCTTATAGCTGTATGTGTGCCTATAGCACTTGCCCTACCGCACCTGTAGCATGGAGGCAAACTTCCGCAAGCTCTCATTTCATGCACCGTCAGACATACTCAGGCTCTCCCGCATACAAACACGCGCCAGGTATGCTGTCAGCAATCACAGCCACTAACTGCGCACAATTTCAAAGCAATGATCTCGGACTTCGGCATGCCGTAACCAAACAAATTCCATGGGCATGACCCCTGCAAGAATGTATTCTCATCCTTTGGCAACCACACGCACTCTTTCACAAATCCGTACCACGCAGCACCGTCATGCAATTTTGGCCACCATGGGGCTGACCGCCACTCTGGTACAACGAGAGTGCCATGGGTTCTGCATGCTAGCAGCATATCGATTGTACGTGAAATAAGGTAGATTGGGGGAACCATTCACACCCTTTCAATGGACCAATCCACTGTGAACGCATCAATCGCAAAGCACTCTGGGTTCCACCACCGGGAGCAGTACTTACTGAGCTGCTTAGTCTTAAAACTGGCAAAACAATCTAGGCTGTAGGGGCCCCATCTCCCTTCCATTTCCCGGAATAATGCAGGGTTCAATTGCCAATCGTCTTGGTCAACAACCTTCGAATAATAATCAGCCAGCTCGTTCTCTTCCCGAGGTACCCATTCTGCCCTAATCCTCACGCTAAAACGCCTGCACAATTTGTGTATTGCCTATAGCTTCCTCTTGCAGATGCTCTTTGCGGCTACCGTTTTCAATAATGTGTGCCGCTGCCTGGTTGTCTGTGCGATGTATGCATGCCTTCCCAGCAATCTTTGGTGCCAATGACTCCAGAACAAGCTTAACAGCCCTAAGCTCACGCCAAGTAGAACTTAGTCTCTTTTCTTTGATTTCACCTGGCCATTCACCCTTCGCAACATGCACACCCAACCTCCCCTCCATGAAACCTCCCCCGCCAGTGTCGCTGGCATCTGACCGACAGATAACTACAACACGTGGGTCCTTCTTCCAGAAAGGCTGGCCATGCAATTTGTCAAAAGATTCTTTCCAGAACTTCAGGTCATCAATTGCCTCCTTTGACCAAACTGTTTGAGCTGCCCATGACTTCCTCAATAGGATCATGTGGTAGAATGCTCTAGTCCTCAGCCTGCAAATCTGGCCCAGGGCCAGCGACATGGACATTATCATTCCAGTCATCCTTGCTACCAGCTTAGCTGATGGTTGCCTGCTACCTGACATTGTGCTGAGCATCGACTTAAGCTTTTTAACACGCTTTTCGGAGGCTCGGATGGCTCCAACGCGTAGGTCAACCACCATACCCAACATCTCTACAACCTGAGAAGGCTCCCAACGGCATTTCTTTTCATTAGCCACAAATCCTGCGTTTTGGAGATCTTTCTTCATTTGATTTGCTACCTTGTGAGCACCTGCCTTAGAAGCATGTCCTCCCGACCCATCGTCCATGTACAGTTGGCAACGTATACCCATTGCCCTCCAACGACGCACTAGCACCCTGGTTACCTTTGTAAAAATGTAAGGGGCGGTTGACAAACCAAACGGCAAGACACAAAACGTATAGTATGCTGCTTTTCCCTGGGGGGTTACCCAACTGAAACCAAGATACCTCTAGTGGCTTTCTGCTATAGCAATGTGGTGGTAGCCACTCTTCAAGTCAAATGTAACCAAGAAATCGTTCTTCTCATATACATCTGCCACCACCTTCAAATCTTCCAGTTTGAACTTGAATTTAGCCAGGTGTTTGTTGATGTACCTTAGGTCCAGAATAAGCCTCAGCTTCTTCCCATTATCCACCACTCCCAACGGGCTACACACTGACACTTGGTCTCTGTTAACCTCTTTAATACAACCGCGAGAACGCATATCTGAAATGGCCTCCCCGACAAAATCTGGAAACTCATGTGTACTTTTGTGGTTGTCTGACCACCTGGGCCCTGGCAATCTAACAAACGGCAGCGTGTATCCATTATTGATTACTTCAAGTACTAGCTTTGGTGCTCCGATTTCTTCCCAGAACTGCACGTTTTTCTTTAGATTGCCAATGACCACCCTGTCCCGGTCCCCTCCGAACTCTCCATCCACGCTATGCAACATAGAATAGGTTTCAGCATCTAATTCATTGCTTTGAAATGACATATCATAGTCGTCAGCTGCACAGGGTTCAGGCATTTCGCGGCTGGCTAGCTGCTTGCCGGCGGGGACACACGCGAATGTAGTGGCCTGTTTCGCCGCAATGGTGGCATGCAAGTTTGCATTGTGGGCACCCCACCCCTTGGCCGACTGGGACGCAGTGCGGGGGAGAAAGGGCTGCTTGGCTTTTGGCGCAGGGGGGGATTGGATGGCTGCCATTAGCCTTTTCCTTTTCTGCGGGCACCCGACAATCCCCAGCATCTCGCCACCCTCTGCAAACTTTTTGGCTGCCTCGTGCCCGTGTGCATCTGCAATAACCAGCCACTCTTGCCTATCCCGCAACAAGTTCTCACCTTGCTTGGTGGCTCGCCTTGCCCTGTCCACCTTCCTCTTCCCTAGAGCAGCACGCACTTCGCCGAGCTCTTCCAGCACAGCAGCGTTTGTCTCGTACTGTCTCTCGTACGAGGGGTTCTTCCACCGCCTCGACGAGGTTGACTGGGGACACACGGAACGACTTCTCGGGTGTTTGGCCTTTTTTGATTTTTCGCGACGACGGCGAGACTCGGGAGATGACGATGAAGACGGGGATGACGACGGAGACGAACAGGGGGAAGATGAGGATGATGATGAGGATGATGCCGACGACGATGGGGACCGACGACGACGACGGCTTGACCGTTCCTTGGCCAGCGCCGATCCTCAACTGCTGCTCCTGCAGTTGGGCGTTCGGTTCGGCTCCACTGTCGGAGCTGCTTACTTCAGGTCTGCTTGCTGAGGCAGGCAAACTACCTCCCCTGGAGGACCTGCTCCGGCCTCTTGGGGTGGAGGATCGTCCACGTCCAGGCATGATCAGACAGATTACACTAAAGAAACGAAGAGAAAAGCACTCGGCCACGCAGCGAAAATTCGCAACTGTACAGCAGCAGTGCAAGAACAAAAAGAACACTGTCTTCAGACCAGCATGCACCTTCATGTGCATGCTGCAACTCCGCACTGTGCAGCCAGTGCGTACCGCACTCCCAGCACAGTCCGTGAACTCTGGACTGTGCACTCGCGTTTCGAAAAGAACAGCATTTCTTGTTTACTTCGTTGCTCTCATCCAACAAGAAATGAGGCATTTCACTATGGATCCAGATCAGTCTGAAGATCCACCCAAGAAAAGAGTTTTCGGAGCGTCAACGAAGGAGGACCAGCAAAAACTCATCTCTGACGCTGTTCCAAAGAGTACACACTCAGCAACCCAGTATTGGGTACGGCTCTTCACTGATTACTGCAAAGATCAAAAGGCTTCGACTACGAACTTCTCCTCAATCCCTATTCCGGAGCTTTCAGACCTAGTTGGCTCTTTCTACGTCGATGCGAAGACGCGCCATGGAACTCCTTTCTCAAAGAACAGTCTTCTGGCAGCAAGAAGTGCTATACAGCGTCATCTGTCTTCTATGCGAGAAATCAACATATTCAGCGATGAAGCCTTTGCAAGGACCAACAAACTATTGGATGGTGTACTAAAGGCACGCAAGCGCGCAGGCAACGAACCAGCTGTAAAGCACAAAGAACCACTGTCTGAAGACGATCTCGGAAAGCTGCGCACATATTTCGAGGATGTCGTCGAAACAACCGACGCGATCAAGCTGGCGTTCTACGTTTGGTACCAGCTAACTCTCCACTTCTGCCTCAGAGGTGGTGAAATGCAGTCAAAGCTAAGGGCCCGGTCCCACATGCAGTGGCGGATCCGCTGGTGCGACAAGGTTTTGCGGGAGTGGTGTCGCACCTCTCCTGCGACAAAATGCTCGCGTGGTCTCACATGCTCACGCGTGCACGGCGAACGAAGCGAGCGCGCCTCTCTGACTTCCAAAAATTTCAGTGCAGCTCTCCTGCAACTCAAGCATGCTTTCACTTCGAAGTACGCGTGCACGTACTGATGCAGTGATGGTGTACAGTCAGTACATGTACTGTGTCTGTGGACAGAACTGTTTCGTCCTTTGTGGACACATCAACGCAGCACTGATGTACTGTTGATGTAGATACTAGGTGTTGGACAGGTCGTTGTTTTTGTTGAGTATCAAGCATTAGCTACATGTCGTGGGTTCGGTATTGTTGACTTTGAGTCTTTGTTCTGTATACTATACTAGTAATCTGAAAGAATGGATTTTCCGTTGGGTAGAGGTCGATTAGCCAGACGTTGTCGACAGGCAATGGAGACCGCAGCGACATTTTGTTGCTGAATACTAGTACGAACTTGTTGAGCAGCACGTCGACGATAAACAATGGCAATGATAACTGCTACAGATACTGGTAATAGTGGTACATGTATCGCTCTTGCTTGACCTACATCACAGTGGTCCGACTGCGTGGTTTTACATGATGGCCATGCTTGGCACAGGTCCGGGATTTGGTCTTTGGCCGACGCCGCAGCCGTCGGTTTCAGCTTCTCGGCTATCCACCTATCGCTCCGTACTGTATAGCAGGAAATTTTCGGACAGAATTTATATTCGTACGATTTCGTACACTGCCTCTTTTGTACTAAAATTAATTCCGTACTAAATTAATTTGTTCCTGTGAAGTTATGTACACTATATGCGTACCGCATGAGAACACGTGCATTTAGCATGTAACGTTAGCACTGTACGAAAATAAAATCCGTACGAAAGGTCGAAATTCGGCTTTGTCCGAAAATATTTCCGTCCGAAAATTTCCTGCTATACAGTATCTCTCTTCATCCCTTGGCCAAACGAGTCTTGACTTCAACATACATGTACAACTGCAGCCGTAGCTGCTCTGACTAAAGTCAAACTGTCCACTTCATGATCGAAAATAAAATCGAACAACACAAATCGCTCACTATGTCAGACTAGTGTCGCAGGAGCGGAACTTCCGCAGGAGAGTATACGCTCCAAAAATTTTGGAGTAGCGGATTTGAACTTTCCGCCACGGCGGAAGTTCCGCTACTCGCAGTTTCCATGGTGATACACGCTGTTGCGACACCGCTGCAGCGGATCCGCAACTCTCAAGTGCATGTGGGACCGGGCCCTAACGAAACGCGACCTCGTGTTTGAATCTATCGACGGACAAGACGTGCTCAGGCTTGGAACATCGTTTATGTCCAAGAATCACCAAGGGGGCTTGACAGGATCGGACTGGTCGTCAGCAGGAGTAATCAATGATCAAACGCAGCTGACAGCAATCAACCGTTACCTTGACAAGCTTCACCCTGACCAAGATCGCTTGTTTCAGCGCGCTGTGAAACCTGGTAAGCTTCCTGCTGATATGTCATGTTGGTACACACGCTCACCGCTGTCGCACAATCTGTTAGCAGGAATGATGAAGAGATTGTCTGAGCTCGCTGATCTTTCCATGGCTTATACTAATCATTGTGTACGTGCCACTTGCATTACCAACATGAAGCGCAGTGGCATTGATGATAGGCGAATTTGCAGTGTGTCAGGCCATCGTAATGTTCAATCCTTATCTGCTTATGATCGCCCCACCACAAAAGATTCTTGCTCTATGGCTGCTGCTGTTGATCTTGGCTCTGTGAAAGCTGTTCCGCCTGCCACTTG